ATAAAAAAAACCCCTCAAAATCATTCTAGCGCATCTCTACACACTAAATTACTAGTATTATAGCTACAATACAAATTATACAAGTAACATTTCATACACTTTGACAGTTAGTAGATTAGTCTGGGTTTATCAGTGATGCAAGCTCATTATCCAAATATTTATCAAGCACGTTCTCTAGTCCCATGCTTCAACTGGTGTCCGAGGAAGATAGGTTCAACATAAATAAGACAGTGTGCCCTTGATCTCTACAAATTCCGTCTGGTTCTCAAGACTTTTTAATTCAAAAACAAAATGCCGGCCAGGCATGGTGGCTCACACCTGTAATCCTAGCACTCTGGGAGGCCAAGGCAGGAGGACTGCTTGAGGTCAGGAGTTCAAGAACAGCCTGAGAAACAGTGAGACCCCATCTCTACTAAAAATAGAAAAAATTAGCTGGGTGTGATGGTGCACCCTTGTCCCAGCTACTTGGAAGGGTGAGGCAGGAGGATCTCGAGCCCAGGGGTTTGAGGTTGCAGTGACCTAGGCTGATGCCACCGCACTCTAGCCCAGGTGACAGAGAAGACTCTGCCTCCAAAATAACAAAAAAAAAACCTCTCAAAATTACTTTAAAATAAAAATTTTCAGATAAAATATAATGTTTCAAACAGAAAAGTTTAAGTAACATACAATAAATACCACTTACTGACTACCAAGATTCTGTCCTATTAAAATGAGAATTTGAATGCAAACTTGTAACAGAAATCTCTCATTTATTTCTCTGGAAGTCTGATTTCCTGAAAGTCCATTTCTCCATCACTGTTTTTCTATTCTATTTCTATTGTTACATAACAAAGATTTTAAAACCCAAATTCAGACCAAGGAAAAAGTTTATAATCTTACAAACAATTTATAGAAAGCTTACTAGGCTTTGAGACAACTTCTTGTCTGGAGACTTTCACAGCCTGAGAAAGCACATAAATGTAAATTTTTGCTACATACATGACTAAAGCAAAAAGAATGAAAAATTAACTCATTTTAAAAATTTCATACCTTCTAGTTTTTAAAACAACTTTGCTATCATAGAAATTAGAAAAAAAGTTCTGTCCTATTATCTATCCAAAGGAATAAATTTACAATTATGAGTTAAAATGTACCTTTCTGTTTCTAATATATCCACTATATATTGCTTCTTTATTTTTCTCCTTCTTCTCAAAATCTTCTTTAGAAAGTACAAGCTCATGAACATCTTGGGAATCTGCAGGTTTGCTTATCATCTGTTAAATATTAAAAAGAGCACTTTTAAAATTCCTAATAGTTAAACTGGTTAACACATTTCTACAGCTAACCTCAAAATATTTTGATTAGTTTTCATTTGTAAGAAATCTTTTTACTTACTCTGGCTGATTGTCCAACAAAGAAAACAGCCTGCTTGCCCCCAACACCAAAATAGGAAATATCACTATTTAAACTGCGTGGCACTGGTACTGGACGAACATATCCGGAATGATCACTAAAACAAAACATTACATTAATGCAGTGATTTTAAACAAGCTACTAAAACGTCAAAGGAAAAATTTATTGCTCTTTTATTAAGTGTTAATAAAATGATCCCCAAGCCAGCTAACACCCTTAATTAGAAGGTGAAATAATCAATGCTGAAAGTCAAGATATCATCTAGTCCACTGGTTCTCAAAGTGTAATCCCCAGCTTCACCTGAAAACTTTAAGAAATGCAAATTCTTGGCCGGGTGTGGTGGCTCACGCCTGTAATCCTAGC